ACACGTAAACAATGCTGGATACTGTATACTGTATACTGCATTGTATTTTAATAACCTTTCCGAGTCCCCTGCTGTCAGTCCTGTGGTGTATTTTGTAGTCTATGCTTCAAAAAACTAAATCTTGCGGTATCGAAAATTAAGTTAGCTTTCTAGCGTGACACAATAAAAATGTTTCAGCGAAAATCGAAGCAAAGTGGGGTCTTATTGTGTCAATATCTCTTCGATGGGCTCCAATTTTAGTTTCAGCCCTGCAGTTGCATCCTTTTCCGCTACACTCTGCAATACACTATACATGTAAGCAATGCTGGATACCGTATACTGTATTGTATTTTAATAGCATTTTCGAGTCCACAGGCTGCAGTTCCTTGTTGTACATTGTAGTCTATGCTCCAAAAAACCACGTTTGGGCGATTGAAAAAATTTTGTGGTCTGTCTGGGGTGTCAGCAAAAATGTTTCAACCGAAATCGAAGCCAAGGGGTCTCTTTTGGTGCCAATTTGTTGATCTGAGTGACAAATCTTCGATTTTCATCCATTCTCTTGCCCGCATTTTCCGCTACACTCCGCAATGGCACCCCTTTCAAATCTTGACAGTTTTATCGTCCCATCTCCATTTCCGCAAAGTATTTTCGTGGCGGGAAAATGGCCGATTTTATTGGGTTGCCATGGGAAATTGGGGGAGTCAAGTCATTCAAACCCCCCAAATATCATCTTCGATAAATTACTGTAGCGTTTTGCTAAAGGCTTTTCTTACGGTAATTAAAGCCAAAATTATTTTTAGTCACATTTTTAATTTTCAGCTTTTGAAGGGAAAAGAGTTTTGGAGCTTTTACATTATCGGGGGGGGGATGGGGCGACGGGCGAATATTTGTAGCAGCCCAGAAATTCGTAGAAATGTGGTAGTTTTCGTTGTTGGGAAAAATTTGTTTCAGTTGCAGTGATTTTAGCGCTGACTTACCATTACCCAATTTTTTTCGAAAGAATTTATTGTGATTTTTTACGCCTGTTTTATTCCGATTCCGTCCGTAATTTGGAGCGTGGCGTCACCATAAAATTGTGTCGAGCCCCATGCCGGGGCATAAACAATAATTTTTTAGACCCGAATTTCCGTGCCCCGGGGCCATTAATCGGCTGACTCGACGCCAGATAGACTTATTTCCGGTCTCCGCTCGGCTAATCCCCCTCTATCGAATTTTCTATAGGGATTCCAATCCGATTTTATAAAAACAAAATTACTACCGTGCGTTAAAAACTTCATACATTGGAATTAATTGTTAAACGCTGAAACCATAAAAATAAATACGACGTAGTTGCAGAGATTCATTGGGCTATATAAATCTCTAAAATTCAAATATCGTTTTTAAGCTTACTTTTACTATTCCTAAGTGTGAAAACTCTACGAAGTTTTATTACAAATACAAAGAAGTTATCGTTTTCGACAAAAATGAACCAGAAATTCGACATTTCGAGTTTTGAAAATTTTTTAAACGTTCTCAGATAGTTTTCGATTTTAAATTAAGCTAAATTTTGTTAAAAGATTATTAAAATGCTTTATATTGCAGTACCAAGAATTTCTGGACTTATATAGGAAGAATTCGGTGGAAGCAGAAGAAGAAGAAAAAGCACTGTGACCATTAGCGATTGTCTAGTTTACGCGGTGCCTGCTTTCATAAAAACATATGTTTTTTGTAACTTAATGATGCCGACTTTCATTTTGATTTTTGCGCCTATAGCTTTTTCTTCCCGTTTTTCGCCTTTTTTCTTTTTCGATTCCCAACCTCCCTGTTTTTCGCGCCCCTCGTCTAGTTCCGTCACAAATTCCTCCCCCTCCTCTCTTCACTCAGTCAGCGAAAATCGGCAAGAAGTGGAACGCTTCTTCGCCCCGAAAAAAATGTGTGTTTCCCCCTTGCCGAAAAATGTGATCCAGAGAGGAGGGTGTAGCGGGTGCGTGTGTTTCTGCCCCTGCCCCCCCCCCTTCCATACAATCGAATTAGCGCCTCACCCTTTTCGCCGGATTTTCAGACAAATCCACCACACTACTATTCACATAGATATTTTGAACTTTCTAAGGTATAAGTTATTGACCATCATGTAGCTAAATATTAAAAATTTATTATTTAGACTCTAAAAATTTCAAAATTTTTAATAGTCTAAATAAATATTAATTAAATTAAAATTTACTATTAAAAAATTATTTAAACTGCAGATTTATTATATATTTTGTTCATGTTACTTAAATTCGATCATTTATAGCGATTTCCCGAATTTCCTCTGCTAGCCTGCCTCCAAATTTCCCTATAGCGCTCTGCTCGCTTGCCGGTGCTTTTGCATTATCAGGGGGGGGGCTATCTAAAGTTTTAAAATCCAGAAATTCCTATTACTGCGGTAATCGCCTTTTCAAATTGTTTTTAGTAAATTTAAGAGGTTTCAAATGAAAAAACTATCTAAAAACATTTTGGTCGAATTATCGATATTCTTCTAGCATTTTTAACACAATTTCTACAGTTTTCGCCTCTCGGAATTTTAAATCGGGGAAATGCTGTGAAATGTTTCAAACACGTTCCTGTTTTTTTGCAAATCAAAAAAATTAATAATTCCAAGTCTGCTAGGTGTGCTCTGTATACTATATACTATTTGAAAACCTAGGCGAATTTAGTTGTAAATCGAAAGCCAAATATTATAGTTTTTTGATATTACAATAATTTCCCTATGGCGCTTTGCTGATTTACCGGTGCTTTTGCATTATCGGGGGGGGGGGGTACATAATTTTTCTAAAACCCATTTTGGTCGATAAACCGATATTTTTCTAGTAACTTAACACAATTTGTACAGTTTTTGCGTCTAGGAATAGTAAAAAACAATTTACAAGGGAACCTCAAGTTGGCACGGTGGAATTTCGAAAAACGCTCGCGGCTACCCCTAGGTTTTCGACGACGGCGATTCCAACGCTCTGGTCAGAATTTCCTTAATGGACCTGTGGACAGAGATACAGCACTTCCGGAAAATGATAATTTACATCCGAAAAATTAGCATTAGCGATAGGTTTATGAGGCCCTCCCATCACTATGGAATCACCAGTGGAGTGGCCGAGTCGTAAGCAGCTCACTTGGTAGGATGCTGACCAGGGTTCGAACCCGCTCACGATTTTTTATTTTGTTTTTTGTCCGGAACTTTCTGCCCAACTCCCAGTTTTGATTTTTACTATCCTACTATATATAAAAAAATAGTGTCTGTGTGTGTGTGTGCATTTGCATGCAACTTCCGTGAGGATGTTCCGCACCTACAGCCTCAGGGAAGCATTTATTCGGTAGTGGAGAAACGTCATTAGGTAAAGAAGGGTCCGGAATCGACTGCACGCACATAAAATCTTTGAAAAATTGCTATTCTCCCTATTAAAAACAAATTTTTGTAAAATTCTCGCCCACCCTCTTTGTTAGGGATCAATTAGCATAAGCCGGAAGTCGGATAGCCTATATAAAGCGACAGAGGAGCCGTTTTTCACTTTTTTCCTGTTAGATTTTGGGGAAGAAGCATGCAAATTGAAGACTTTCATCGGTCCTAGACGGGGCCAGGGTTGAAAAGCCGCGGAGCGGTTTTTCAACCCTGGTAAGAAAAAATTTTGTTTATGGCCTAGGCTGATTACTCCAAAGAAGCCTCAAAAATTCGCAAAAATTATGCGAACAGCTGGGTGTTCCCAGCTCCGTTTTTTTTTGCATATGGTTCACTTGAATGAGATTTTTTAATTTTTTTTTTGGCTTCGCTAACGTTTTAGGAAACATAACGAATTTTCGAAAAAAGTAACCAAAACTGGGAGTTGGGCAGAAAGTTCCGGATAAAAAGCAAAATAAAAAATCGTGAGCGGGTTCGAACCCTGGTCAGCATCCTACCAAGTGAGCTGCTTACCACTCGGCCACTCCACTGGTGATTCCAGAGTGATGGGAGGGCCTCATAAACCTATCGCTAATGCTAATTTTTCGGATGTAAATTATCGTTTTCCGGAAGTGCTGTATCTCTGTCCACAGGTCCATTAAGGAAATTCTGACCAGAGCGTTGGAATCGCCGTCGTCGAAAACCTAGGGGTAGCCGCGAGCGTTTTTCGAAATTCCACCGTGCCAACTTGAGGTTCCCTTGTTAGTAACACTTCTGCTATTTATATTAGAAAATTTGGGGGTCCTAGGAGAAAAGTCCCTCCCCCCGATAATGCGAAAGAACCTGAATTTTTTTAGAAAAACGTCGTTAACCTGCTTTCTTGAATTACTGAAAAATCTCAGCTAGCCTGCGATACTCATCTGAATGTTTCGAACCTAAAAGATACAAATTTTATTGGCCAAATTCCGTTTGTGTACGGACTGATGACGAGTGATTATTATGTCGCCGAGCGTTTATCATTTATCTGTCTGTCGCCCCTATTAATCAGCAATTAGAGAGAGAGAGAGAGAGAGAAGAGACGAGAGAGAGCGAGAGAAGAGAGAGAGCGAGAGCGTGAGAAGAGAGCGAGACAGAGAGAGAGTGATACACCAAGGTCAACCCCTCACTTCTCAAAACATTTTCCCCCCACAAAAACAACGCGCCCATACCGATTCTCGCTACGATTACACGTTGATTTGCTGTGATTTTTCTAGTTTAATTTGTCTATCATTAATAGATGACTTTCTAAATTTTGCAGTGACATGTCCATTTTCCATTTCCAGCGAAACATGCATTTTCGAGAAATTTTTGCTTTCTTCAAAACTGAATTTTATACTTTTACATTTATTTATTTTTGTTTGATTTATATTTTATAGCTTGCTTCTTTGTTACTTTTCAGATCGGTGCATTTTGCGAAATTTGAAGATAGAAAATGCGTTTAATTTTACTTTTTCTCAATTTAACGTTTTTCCCAGATTTTTTAGATGTTTCAAATAAACGCCAGCACCCTGAAAGTTAGAAATTTATAATAGGTGTGTCTCCATTCACTTGTATCTAGAAAACATCAAAATGCAGTCAAATGTTTAAATTTCAGATGAAATTTTCAGACGTGGGCTTCTCGAAATCGATGAATGAAGGTTTAATATTATCAGCTTTTAATAATTTTAACTTAATTATTTACATAACGTTAAATTAGCGACCGCAATTCTTTATAACCGCTGAATTTTTGTGTACAAAATGTTCATATTTTTGTAGTGAGTACCCCTTATTACTCATTCCATTCCACCCGGTAAAAAGGCGTGTCCCGTTGCCGCGTAGCCTCTCGTAAATCATTTGAAGAGAAAAAGAAGAAAAAGGGGCTAGCAACCACCCTTCAACTTCTCTCAAGTACTCCCATACACATCTATTCACACCCAATAGATATCTCCACTTTTAGGCCATTTTAAGGTATTTCAAATGATCTCTGCTAGCCTGCCTCTTCCTAAAGAATATCTGCTAGCATGGCCCTTCCTAAAGAACCTCTGCTAGCATGCCTCTCCTGTTTGTCCACAATAATCCCTGCTAGCCTTTTTAATGCGAAAAAATCTTAGTGTTCCATTTTTAGTGTTATAAAAAATTTCTGGAAGGTATAATACCATTTTAAAGGCGCTGTGAAGTAATAACAACTACGAAACACAACTATAGACGTTAATTTACACGTAAAAAGCCGCTGTCATGAATCAATAGCCCGTAAAGGTGTGTTCTTTTCTCCTCGGGCTGGAGCATTGTGTTGAGGAATTCACGGGATGGCTGAGGACAATGAGGAGCACTAGCCTTCTCTCTCTCTCTCTCTCTCTCTCTTTCTCGCTCTCTCTCTCTCTCTCTCTGCCTCCACTCTCTCGCTCGACATGCTCTAATTGGAGGCCGTTTTGCGTGGAAAACGACGAGGCACACGAATTGCTTCTAGAATCGCGAATGGCGCTACAGCCGCTAGGGCATTAAGAATTCTTGAATTCCGCAAAGAACCTTTGCTAGTTTCCCTCACTTTTCTACAGAATCTCTGCTAGCTTGCCTAGCCTAGGCTCCATCGCTACCAGAATTTCATAAAAAATCTCTCCCAGCACGCCCCTTCCTGAATAATCTCTGCTAGCCTGCCTTGCTTCCATTTCCCAAAGAATCACCGCCGGATTACCCTCTTTCTGAATGAATCTCTGCTAGCTTGCCGAGTATGTCCGGATATCTCTGCCGGATTTCCCAAAGATTCTCTGCTCGTTTCCGGTTATGCTTCCCAAAGAATCTCTGCTAGCTTTCCTTGCTCAATTCTTGTTTTTCGATAAATTATCGATTCATGACGCCCTAACAAAGAAGATATATTAATTTTGCCCGTCTCACCCGGGCCTAGAAATATTTTGCAACACATTATTTTAAGTAAAATTTTTTCTATAACTTTTTCCAGGTATTATGGTTTACAGTAGCGGTCAAAAAGATGTCCCCTCGGGAAATCGTTTGGTGTTCGAAAACCACAGACCCAAATTTTATGAAAGTTTGCCTCTAGGTTAATTTTGTTACGCAAAATCCGATGGTGCATTTGAAATCGGCTGAAAATTTCATTTTTAGCAATCAAACTTTAATTTTTTTTAAATCGGTAAAATGAACTTTTTCCTGAGGGATTTTCGGGTTTCAAAAATGTGTCCATCGTGTTCGCAAGGGTCGAAAACCACTAGTCCGGTATTTTACGACACTTTTTCTGCCGGGGCCTGACCATACTGACGGCCGAAAGTTGCTCTCGCGCGGGCCAAAATCCGTTGGATAGGCTTACGGGGGCCAGGAAAGCGCCCCGCGGCGACAACTTCTCGGCCTCATAGCAGCGAACCTCAAAGAGATAAATGTCTTGAAACATGTTCGAGCAAGGTTTTCGACCCTTGCGAACACGATGGACACATTTTTGAAACCCGAAAATCCCTCATGAAAAAGTCTATTTTTACAGATTTTTTGAAATCGAAGTTTGTCCATTAAAATAAAATTTTCAATAGATTTCAATGTTGCCATCGGATTCTGCGCAGCCGAATTGACCTAGACACGACGTTTCATAAAATTTGGGCCTGTAGTTTACGAGCACCAAGCGATCTCCCGGGGGGACATCTTTTTGACCGCTACTGTATATATAACGTCTATATTCAGATTTCTCAGCCCCAAAATGGGTCGCCCCCTCATCGTATTGGCATCAAAAGTCTCTGCTCATCGCCGGTTTCTTCTTTTCGATCAATATTGTGGCCTCAGTATTGGCATGTGCTGTCTGGGATCTTCATGCTCATCCGGCTATTCATAATTTATTGTATATAGGTAAGTCGTGGAATATAAGAAATTAAAGGGACCGGAAAGATGGGATTTTTCGGCTTTGGACGTCATAGATTTTCCGCTGTCGCAATACGCAACGCGCCAGCCTGGGCCAAATCCATAGAAAATCGTGAGCCTTGCCAATCCCTTTAAATGCCCTAAAAAGTCAAAATTAATCGACTGCGGAAAAACTATAAAAGACCGGTTCTTGGGCATTATCGGGGGGAATCAATTTTTCTTGGATCCAGAAAGGCCTATTGACGTGATATGAAAGGTTTTATAGGCTTTTTTTAGTATAATTTAACTTTATTTCCGGCTGCAAAAAAATTTTACAACTTCGAAGTTTGGCTCGAAAAGCGATATTTTTGTCTCCTTCGGAAAATTTGTAAAATTTTTGCGGTGGTGGATTTTTAAGGCTGTTGAAAGGCTAAGCAAGGTTTTTGAAGCCCATCTAAGCCCGGTAAAGGTTGCTTAGCGGGGGGAGGCAACGGCTGATTCTAGCGTCGAAAATATGACGTTTTAAAAGGGTGAGATAATTTTTAAAACCAGAAAAGTTGCTTCCACTCGTGGTATTTCTCACCCCACCCCCCCCCACCCGTTAATGGGAAAGTACCTGAATCCCCCCAATTTGCAGGCGGTCTCCTCTGCTCATTCCTCCTGAATTCCCTCATCGCGTTGGCCCTCTATTTTGGCGTTCGCCATCAGAAACCGACGCTGATGATGCCGTATCTCGTCTCGGCCACTATACACTTAATATTTAGGTATAAAAATCGCTTTAAACTCATTTATTGAAATTTAAACTTTAATCTCTTAAAACTGTAAAAATTTTCAGCCTCGGTGCCGCTTTTCTGTGCCTCATCTCGCTGCTCGACCACATGTTTGCCGGCAATGATTCGGCTGATTTATACGGTAAGCTGGAGCTTGTCCATTATCGGGGGAGGGCTTTCCAAGTATCGAGTTTTTCTGTTCTACCAAAGGGATATTTAAACGTAAAAATAAGAAAAGTATGCTAAAAGACACGAAAATGGTCAAAATATTCAGAGCAAAAAGGCCGGTTTTCGATGGAAATTTCGATTATTGTACTTTTGAGAATTTTTTAGATGATCTTTTCAAGTTTTAAAAGTTTAAAAGTGAAAAACGAACTAATTTTTTGTTAAATATATAGAAAAAAACCGATTTTTAGGTAGTAATAATCAAACCTTAAAACAAATATTACACCAAAAACTTGAAACTTTAATTTTCAACTCGTATGGTTAAAACGTTAAAGGTTTTTAAGGAGTTTTAACGCGATTTTCAGGTGTGATCGGTTTCTCGGTGTTGTTCATCTTCTGGTTGGTTACCCTCCATATTGTGGCCCGGGAAAGGGATGAAATTCGACAATTAAATGGTCATCAACGACTCGTCCCCGAATATTTATAAATCGTCGTTTTTTTGTGTTTTTTTGGCGGTTCTATTGATTTTGTGGCGATGCGGGTCTTTTTTGAACCAAATAAAATGTTTTAAAAATAAGCAAAAAGCGCAAAATACGCCGGTGCCATCTGTTAAAAATTTAAAGATTTAATAAAACTAATAATAGGTATGCTAACCATTTTTGAAATTTAAAATTGCTAATATAAAGAAACAAAGAAAGCGAGGAAATCTGGTTCTTTTCCGTTATCGGGGGGGGGGGGGGGTGTAAAAAATCTTCCTATAAACCCAAAAATGCCTTTTAACATGCTGGGCTCGTGCTACACCCCCCCCCCAAATGCCAAAGCTCCAAACGCTCAAATTAAGTAAATTGATCTCCCCATGACTTTCAAATATTCAAAAATTTTTATTGTTTTAATTTTGATAAAAAAAGCATGTTTCAACTTTTCACGATTGCAGAAAATGACGGTCTGTAATGGCGTCCCGTTGGATTTTCGCAAATACCAAATTTGCATATTTGCGAGATGCATATTTTTCAAATCCGGACCATATGCCCGTGCCTAGAAACTCGTCATTTTCCTGTTTTTGGCCAGCCGATCTACGCGACTCGATCTACTCGCAAAAATGATGGAAGCCCTTCTCCGTCAATTGATGTATGTGGGAATCTCAGAACTTTTTTGAGGCTCGGGCAAGCTAGCAGTGATTCTTTGACTACATTTCTGGGATCAAACATTTTCTTTCTACTTTCTGAGCAAAAAGCAAAAAATTACCGCCCGGGGGATCGAACCCGGGTGGCGTGGGCGGTAGCCTGGCACACTACCACTTAGCCACGGAGGCAAAAACCTGAAAGCAACCATTTTTTTCTTGTTCAGGATGCAGGCGATGAGCAGCCACCAGCCGGCCGTCAACAAGCTCGACCACCCCGACACGGCCGAGACGGTCAACATTTCGTCGTTGCCGTTGCTCAAGATGTTGAAACATGCTAGGTAATTAATATTAGAGTATTTTTAAGGAATTTTTGTTTCTTCTTCCCGGCATACTTTTTGAAAAAAAATATAAGAAAAATGGCCAAATTTCAAGATTTTTGGAACTTTCAAGATTTTTAGAAAATTGATGTGAAAATGTTGTAATCTTTCTTTAATTTTCTAGCAATCAAAAAAATACAAAAACACTATAAAAATACACTTTTTGTTATTAACAGGCGGCAACAGTTGGCGTAAAAACCAAAATACCCCCCCCGCTAACTGTCCAGAACCCGCTTCTCTTCAACAGTAGTTCCGCAACTTTCCTTGTTTACAGGAGTGGTGTCCCTCTGGAGGTGATGGGCCTCCTTCTCGGCACTTTTGTCGACGACTTCACGGTGAACGTCGTCGACGTGTTCGCCATGCCGCAGAGTGGCACGGTAGCGGGGTGTTTAGGGGAATAAATATATCCCTTAGCAGTCTGCTGGAAGGAATACCATTAGAAAAACTTGATTCATGAAGTCCTGAACTATAAGATCGCTCCAAACGCCGATTTCCTCTTGGCTCATTGGTAGTGTGGTTGCCTCCCACCCGCACTACCCGGGTTCGACCCCCGGCCCGCAGCAAAACTTTTTGCTTTTGGTTTTGGTGTGGTTTTGAAGAGTTTCGTTTAGGCAAGCTAAAAATCGGTACTTTCGCATTAACGGGGGGGTGATGGCGAGACTTTTTTCTAGAAGCCCAGAAATTCGTGGTAGCATAATAACCATGGTTTAATAAGATTTTTAGCAAAAATAATGAATCATCACCGGGAAAAACTATCTAAAAATGATCTGAAATTCCAAATTCTTACCGAAAAGTCTATTTTTTTTATTTTTTCAAAAAAATTGGTTTTCGGGCTGTGATACCCCCGCTAATGAAAAAGGTCCCAAAAACCTTGGCGTTTAGTCGGTGAGCGTGGAATCGGTGGACCCGATCTACCAGGCGCATATGCTGGAAAAGCTGAAGCAGACTGGACGTGACGAGCTCGTCGTGGGATGGTAGATGCTCTCCTGAGTAGAGGCTAATCATGTCTGTTAAGGTACCACTCTCATCCGGGTTTCGGTTGTTGGCTATCGGATGTTGATCAGCAGACTCAGAAGTCATTTGAAGCCCTCCACCACCGGGCTATCGCCATCGTCGTCGATCCCATCCAGTCCGTCAAGGGAAAGGTACGCACTTGGTTCAATTTTTGCCTTGAATGGGTACTGGGCTGTTAGCGGGGGGCATATTTCATTAGCAATAGTTTGTGCTATTTTCCAATTTTTTTAATAGTTTTTGAGTTCCAGAAACTTACACAGTTTATTTTAAAAAATCCCGAAAAATTTTCAACTTTATTTCAATATGAAAGCTATGAAAACAAGATAAGGAAAAATACTTTGAAAATACCCTTCAAAATTAATAGTTTATTTGTTGCAAGAATCCCGATTTTCTTTTTTTTTTCTTCAGGTGCTTCTGGAGGCGTTCCGTCTCGTCGATCTGATGCATCTGAATCCGAAGAGTCTCGCTCCGACTGGTGAGGCGCGACAGGTAAAATCACCCCTGTCACCATCCCTTTAAACGGACTTGTAGACGACGTCGAATCTCGGATACGTCGACGAGGAGGCCGCCATGTCTCGGAAGAGAGAGTCGAAGAAGTGGGTGACATGATCTGTCTCACTCTCACCCTCTCTCTCTCTCTCTCTCTCTCTCTCTCTCCTCTCTCTCTCTCTCTCTCTCTCTCTCTCTCTTTCGGCATTTTTTAAAAATAAGCCCTCTTCAGATACTACAATCTGGTGGTGAACTACCGTACGACGGAGAAGGAGCGGAAGATGTTGTCTTGTCTCGATCGGCATAGCTGGGTGGATGGATTGAGGATTGGAGGATATAGGAAGAGATGCAATGCCAATACCGACACTCTCGAGGAGATGACCAAGATGGCTGGACATTTTGGAAAGGTGGGAGAGAGAGAGAGCGAGAGAGCGAGAGAGCGAGAGAGAGAGTGGGGAGAGAGAGAGAGAGACCCCCTTTTCAGGACGTGATCGAGATGGGCCCGTCCCGCAAAAAGAAGGAGAAAGACGAGAAGGAGCGCAAGAAGTACGGCAAACTCAACGCCAAGCAACGTCTCGAGATGGTACACCGATTTTGCACAGATTTGCCAACGTTCTTTGCCAGACCTCGACAAAAATGATGGAGGACAACATTGTGCAGGAGATGGCCAGCGTCCTCAACACGTCCGCATTCCATTAGACAACTACTGCTTACCCCCGCCCATTTATCCGCTCAGCAATTGCCCCCTCATTTTTTATACTCGGTTTTCATGTGCGTGTTAGTTCCTTCGAACGGTTCCCCCGAATAAATGTGTTTGGCTGCCCATATTGTGCCATCAAAATTTATTCCGGCACTGAACTCTTAACGGGGGGAGACCCTAACCGTATTCAAAAACTGCTGTTCGATGATTTAGAAAACGTTATGACGGCTTTTAGTTACAAAAAAACCATAATGACAAGCCTTCGTCCTTCACAAAAATCGGATAGAAAGATTTTGCGTACCGGCTTTCGAAAACTTTTATTGGATTAAATTTTGATACACTAGATGCCCCCCAAACTCATCAAATCCATTATTTTCGCCTTCAAAGTTTTTTAGAGGTTAAGAAAACGTCTAAAAATGTTGCAAAAATGTTCAAAACTTTTTAGCGAAACGTTGACTGGTCGTCAAAAATCATAGAAACAACTTGTATTATTTCTTCGTGCCCGTCATATTTAAGCATTCTGACATGGTAACGATGATCCGATTCGTTTCCCCCAGGGAGATATTTCAATGCAAACCAGGCACGTATTTTTGATAAATATTTATTCAATCACAACATTTCACGAAATCAAACGCACAGCAAATGCAATTAAGGTGGGCTCGGCGCGGCGTGCGTGGCTGTGGCGGTCGCTCATCTTCTTCTTGCTCTTTCTTCTCGATCTTCTTGCTGTCGGTGATGGCGGTCGACCCGTCCGATGGCTCATCATAGACTGACTGAAAAAGATATATATCTTCTAGTCTTCCTATAGATATCTTTTATAGTCTTATAGTAAACAAGTTTTTAGTGTCCGTGGACGTTTTTTGGGTTCTTCCGCGTCGAGGCGGGCGGGGGGGGGTGGGGCACAATTTATTTAATTAATCTATAAATGCCTAATAACTTAATAGCAAGTATTTTAAGAATGTTTTTAGTAAAATAAAACTATATTTTAACTAGAAAAAACTTTCGAAAATTGTTCAAAAATCCGAATGTTTGGTGAAACCAGGCCATTTTGGCCAAAAAATCGATATTTTGTGATTTTTTTCAATAAGACTTTGTAAAGTTTAGGTTTAAACATAGTAAAAGAAGTATAGCAACACTTTAGCTAATTATATTCAAAAGAATAGGTACTAGCACAGAAACTACAAATTTTAAAATATTAGCTCGAAAATTCTTTTTTCTTTGCGTACCTCCTTCTTGGTGAGGATGTCGACGCCCTTGACCGGGGTGAAAGACGCCTCATCCGCGCATTTTGCCCGCAATGCAATCGTCGTCGCGGCCGCAGTCACGCCGATCGCCCTGGTGCGCATCGCCTGAAAAGCCGTCTCTTCTAAATGTAATCCGCGGAAGCCGTTGGCAAACTGTTGAGAAATTGTTCAAAAATTTCGAATTTTGGTCGAAAATCGCGATTTCATCGTTTTTAATAGCTTTTTATGAAAGTTTATATCTCTTCTATTTATATTAGATTAGAAAAATGCAAACCCGGGTACCCACAATTAGGTAGTACAGCTTCTCGCTCTCCGTCCGCTTTGCCGTAGCGGCGAGCACATCTTTTTGTGCGGCCGGGATGATGGTCCCCTGCAGCTCCTTCGCAACCTATAAAAGCTTGTTTCTGTGCACTAATAGAATACCTTATCGAGGTCCACGATGTCCATGTCGATGTAAGTGTTGAACTTGGCTTTGTCGAAGCCGTTGATCGCCGTGGGCAGCCCGTCTCCCAGGTCGTATTTATCCTAAAAATCTGCATTATCGGGGGCGGGGCACCGTTTTTTAACCGATCGCTATTTTCTAAATTTTCGAAAACAACTACCACAGGTAACGTCTCAAATTTACAAAAAATAAACATACGCTAAATTCGGCGCTGGGTGGCTCTTCGAACGGCCGCCCGGCGATGTAGGCGCTCGCGTAGGCGGCGCGCCACGTCTGGAGTGCCAGCTGCTGCTCGGCCACGGCGAGGCGGCGAACGCGGCCCTCGACCAGCAACAACAAGGATTCCTGTAAATACTCTCGCATAACAGTTTATAAATTATAGAAATTTCTAGGATCCGAGTTGAGGGAAAGCCGGCTGGCTGGTATTTTTTTTGCGCTAACCAAAAGGGCACGGATATCCGGATTGGAAAGTTGCTACGAGGCGCGCCTATGCACACTCTCCTGTCCACGGGCGGGGTAACATGTTTTCCCCAGCAGAAAACCACCCCGGATTTTTGCGATATATCGCGAAAGCTTAATCCAAATACTGAAAAACAAAATCGGTTGAAAATTCTAAGAAATATTGCGCATCTTTTGAGCCCAGGACATCGAAAAACTGTTCAGACCCATTTTTGCAACGATGGACTGAAGTATCTCTCCCAGGTTTTGGCTTTTTTAGTGAAATCCGAGCAGAGTTTTGGAAGAATCAAGGTCAATTACCAATAGGAAATAGAAACCGTGCAATTCGGCGATGAAAGAATTACAATAGAAACTGTTATTTTCGAGTTTTTCGTTTTTCGGTCTATTGCTGTTTTCGGTACCTTGGCCTCGAGCTCGGCCTGTGCTGCGACGACGGCCCGCCGGTCCTGGTGCATGTTGTTGTAGGCGTTGGTCTTGTCGGAGATGTGCTTTTCGATATCCTGGAATAAATACTACAGGATTCAAGGAAAAACCCACAATGGTCATTGAATTAGTAAGGTGGTTGTTAATAGCTGGGTGAGTGCTTCAGTTAGTTAAGCATCAACATTCCGCAGCGCCTTTTATTGCGAGAATTCCATGCTAATTCAGGGGCTTTCCGGCCGATAAACGCGACCCCAAAGCGTGTTATGCAAATCTAAAAATATGGGAAAGGCCCAAAAACTAATTCTACAAGCCTGTATATTTTCGCCTAGAAGGGGAGGGGATGGTGCTCGCAAGAGCGTAAGCCCACCGAGCTGGGTAATTAGAAACGCCTATGTGCTGCCGCACTGACTGGCTGACCCGCGCTGCCCCCGCTCAGCATCCCCGCAAAGTTTTTGGATGACATTGTTTGAGCCATTTTTCAACAAATTTTCGAGTTTTTGACCTTATTTCTGTATTTTATTTTAGCGCATTTTTACTTTAAATTGTGGTTTTTTTGAGAATTTATCTCTGCATTACTCGGCATGGTCTTTTGAAAGCAGTCACATCGGCACGGCCCCGCCTCCAATTGGCACCAATGATGGCTGCTTTTCTAAAAATGTTCTTAAACAATATTTTGGCGACGTTTTTAGGGATATTGAACTGTGATGCGTGGTGTGCGAAGGAGTGTTGCGTACGGTGCGGTAACAAATTTATCGTCCACAGGTGTGCAGTGTAGTGATTGTGTTTTTACTGCTGCTGGATCAGTTGATTCCAAAAGTTGACAAAGCCGTTGCGAAGAGATTCGAGCTGAGACTTCAGCTGCTCCAATTTGGCCTCCCAATCGGCTGAAAAGCGAGGGAAGGTGAACGGGCAAAGAAATTGCAAGGGGAAGCGGTGAATAAAGGGACCAGCAAATCGAGATTATCAAACTAATGAGCAAAAATATAGTTAAAAAACAGAGTGGACTTCCTAAAACTACCAAAAACGGTTTCTATGAAAACCGCTGAAAAAAAAAACGAAATTTTCCGGGGCACACTCGAACTGAAAACGGACTGAACTTTTCTCGTATGATCAAATCTTTCACATATTAGTAGAGGAAGTGTTTCTAAACTGTTTTTTTTTTACTATTCCTAAACGTCAAAACTATACAAATTTTTATTAAATAAACAAAAAATCTGGGTTTTTAGACCAAAATTTCGGTAGTTTTTCTGGTTATAAATATTTTCTAAAAACCCAAAAACATTCTTAAGTTACTAGGCAGTTCTAGACATGAAAAAAATTTTACCCCCCCGATAATGCGAAAAGACCGTGGCAACGACTAAAATTCCGTAAGGATCCCAAAAATTACGATCCAATTGGTAAAATTGCGTTTTACGTCTGAATAAACGCCAAATATCGTGCGTTGCTGTCGAATTGACGATTTGTAAGGACTCAACGGGGCAGGGGGTAGAGCAGACTTCTGGGCCCTTTTAAAAGGAGTAACAGGCTTGTCCGAAAACAGAGAAGCCCAAACGAAGCAAGGCGCCCAAAACACAAGCATTGAAAAGTGGCTTGGAGCCCGTAGTAGTCCGCTGCGACGACGAAGCGACACCCAATGCAGAGCCAAACCCATGCCTTCAATGCAAACCTTGCTCACTGCCGTTGTTGAAGCCGTTGTTCTAAAATAATAGTTCGAAATCCCCAAAAACTCCGACTTGTCCATTAAAATCGCCTCCGTTAAAGCCGCCATTATTGTTGCCATTGAAGCCACCCTGATTCTGCTGATCGCCAAAGCCGTTGTTTTGGTTGATGGGGAGTGGCTGAGAATTTTTAGTCCTTTTTGCACTTAAGCCTCCTACCTGGGACCCATCTCCATTCATTCCGCCGTTGAATCCACCATTCTGGTTGATCGGTGACGGCTAAAACAGTTAAAGAAAAACGGAAGCGCCGTAACGTAAGTCACATCATAGCTTTTTTGTCAAGGCAGAAGTGGAAAAACTATTTGCAATTGCTAAATTTTAGTCGAAAATTGAGCAAAAACTTTCGAAAGCTCACTTTTTGTGGCCTTTACGTTTAGGGATAGTAATAGCCAAAACACGACCTAATTCGGCCATAATCCTCACATTATTGTTGTTGTTGTTGTTGTTGAAGCCAGCATCGTTGTTTCCATTCACCGGCTGCCCGAAGCCGTTGCCCTGAGCCTAGAAAACAGATTTTTGTGCACAAAATATTCGAATTTAGGCGTTGGAGATACTGCCCAACACCGCTACGCCTTCAAATACCTGTCCAAAGCCGCCGGATTGGCTGTCGAAGGAACTAAATCCACATATTCTAAAAATAAACACCGCTCCTACGCTGAAAGGGTCAAGCCGACGACAGCAAGGAGTATGACGAACATCTTTTCGAATGAGAAATCGAGGATCAATTCGAGTTCTCTATCGGTAAATACCCGATCCCCTCCCTAATTCTCTCATCGGCCCAGCTGAATAAATAAATATTCGCGAGCTGTTCAAACGCGCAGGCGAGCGCCAGATTCGACGCGACCATTTCGAAAGGCGATTTCGTGGAGGCGTTTTTTTGGAATGCCACATTTTCAAGCATTGTTGCATTGTTGTTTTTTGCTGATTTTTCTGGGGGTTTCAAAGCAGAATAAACCCGGTGGGGAAACGGAAAGACGGACAAACGTGGTCAAACCCCACACCAGGACATCCGTTCACGCTGATGTGCTACTTAAGAATCAAAAAAAATGCCGAAGCTTCTGACGGGCTCCCCCGCGACACCGTATTCGTGCAAGGACCCGCCAGATGACATCTGTTCCGGCATATCACTATCTCAGCCATGAGGATTCCATTCCAGACTTACTTACTGTAAATTGTTTTTACTCAACTTGGAGTTTCGATTCCGGACTAAGTGCATCTTGTACAGAATTTTTCGCTGATTCCGAATATGTTTTCCAAATTTGCCACGGACCGTTATTCTGAAAGTTATACGGCAATTATTACCATAGTTTTCACCAAAATGAAGGTATCGCTATAGATATCGATTTTCTTCATTAATTTCAACGTCAAAATTGACTAGACGTTGGCTCGACAAGCATCCCACAGCTCAAAACAAGCATTTTAGATAAAAAAATTAGATCTTTATGCAAAAAGCAAAAGAAATGATGCAGGCCGGGGGTTCGAACCGCCGCCCTGCGCTTGGCAAGCGAGTACTTTGCCAATGCACCATGGTGTCAACCGGGAAGGGTGCTGTCAGAGGGTACTTCAGGGCCCCTGGGCACCATAGCCCATGACAAGGAATAGTGGGCCAGCGTCTGAATTTTTGACATTTTTCGGCCTAATTGTTACCAAAATGATTGTTTAAATAAAAGTCCGTAGCAAATTTGGAAAACATATTCGGAATCAGCGAAAAATTCTGCACAAGATGCGCTTGGTCCCGAATCGAAACTCCAAGTTGAGTAAAACCACTTTACAGTTATCAGGTTGGTAGATAAGTCCTGTCACAACTTTTTGAAAGCGCCCTAGAAAGCCGTAGAAACGTCGGATTTTCACTTTCGATACATGATTTGATAGATCTTGGGATGCGCTACTTGGGCAAAACCCGATTTGGTCCACAAAGTGGCTCGCCGTCGAATTAGATCTCCGGGAAGTTTTTGATAAAATGTTGTGAAAGCTATTTAGCGTGCTATCACTGCATAGAGCCATTTGAATACGATACCATTAACGCCAATCGATAGCTCACCAGGAGTAGATATCGATAGATCTTGAGATCATCAAAATTGGACACCGGATGACTGAGATACGGGTCCTTGAAATTTGATTGATTTCTTAGAACTTTTCCCGAAATCCCATACATTTTACGCATCTGTGACAAATTTTGCCAGTTGGTTTTTGAGCGCCCGGAGAAAGTTTTGTCTAAATGTATGGGAATTCGGAAAAAGTTCTAAGAAATGGACCAAATTTGAAGGGCCCATATCTCGGCCATCCGTTGTCCGATTTTGATGATTTCAACATCTATCAATATCTACTCCTCGAGAGCTATCGATTGGTGTTGAAGGTATCGGATGCAAATTTCTCTATGCAGAGATAGCACGCTAAAAAAGCTTTTTCAAGATTTTGTGAAACACTTCCCGGAGCTGTAACTCGGCGTCTTGTAACTTTTCGGCCTTGTGCGGCAGCCCCCATTAAAGAGCAGCCCAAGATGTATCAAATCAGGTATCAAACGTTAGAATCGGACATGTCTGCGGCTATACAGAGAGATTTAAAAAATTTGTGACAGGACTTATCTACCAACCTGATAGATGATAAATACGTACGCGCGAAAAAAAAAAAGAGTAAGCAACTGGCGATAGGAAAATACTTTATCACATCAATCGCAAGAATTTACACGCTCGAGTTCTATTTACCAACTGTCAAGTAGAGTTAATAATGGGCGGTTTTTAATTGGGTTCTTCATTTCTTCCGATTCTTCCGGTTCCGATCGCTGTCGAAGAACTGGGAGATGGCGGGCACATTCCGCTGCTGTCCATTCCTGGAAAAAAGACAAACATCTGCAACCAGTCCAGCCACATACCCCGGCTTTTCCATCAGCGAAGTGGTTGGCTTGGATCCCTTCAACAGCGCGTCCTTCATCTCGTACACTCGCGATCCCCACGATTTTGGCTTGAAACTAAAAAAGAATGGATTTTACTAAAACTCGATTTTAGCCGAACCGCTTCTTCAAATCGTTAAACGTCGGCCGGGCGCTGCGATCATCGATGAAACAGTTGGCCATCATCTCCGAATCTCGTTGTCCCATACAAGGCGTCGGCTGCAGCTTCACCTTGCCCGAGACGATGCCCACCTTCACCTCGCGAAGCGTCTGCAACAAGTATATTTCGTATTAATCAAGGCTTGTTTATACCTTGACGTGATTGTAGGGGACGGCTCCATCCGAAAACACCTCATAGGCCACCACACCAAATGCCCACACATCAGATTTGGTCGAGAAAATGCCCTGTTCGATCGCTTCAGGGGACAGCCAGCTGAAAAATCATAGTTCTCTACTAATAAATGACAAAACTCTGCATACCGGATGGCCAGCTTTAACTGCTTGTTCCCTTTGACCTCCTTGCCCGGGGCGTCGGTGTAGCACGAGATGCCTAAAGATCCAATTTAACAGCCGGCAAACGCCACTCCACCAAAATCACTGATCTTGCATCGCATCTTATCGTCCAGCAACACGTTTCGAGCCGCCAAATCACGATGGATCAGCTAGAAAAAGACAAATGAACAAATCATAATCAATAGATGGATACCAAATTCTTCTCGAGATATGCCATGCCGGAGAGAATTTGGAGGACAAAGATCCGCTTCTGCTTAATCGGCACCTTACTTTTCCGCATGAATTTCAGAAGAGAGCTGCCTGTTTGCGGAGAAGAAAATAGAAATGAATTGAGGATGGAATATACCGGTGGCAAGTTCCATGACGATCATGATCGGATTCTCAAGGCAAGCCAGTCCAAACATCGCGATCACCGATTTGTGCTCCAGAGTGGCCAAGAACACGGCCTCGTTGATGAACATCATTCTAAAAAAGGAAATATCTATAAAAAAGGATGTTTCCAACTTGTCGCCAATGGCCGGGTCGACCTTCTTCTCCTTGCCCTTTTCCGTCTTTGATTTCCTAAAAAGGATCAGACTATTTTATCTGAAAAAAACGTACTTTTTCTTGTTGTTATTGCCATCGGGGATGGAGGGAACAGTGCCAAGCGTCGAAGAACCATCAGTCGCTCCCGGAGTGGCCATGACTTTGATCGCGCACTTGCTGTCTCCAAACGTTCCATCATAAACCTGGGGAATCGGGTTGGAGAAGAAGCAGAGAAATGACAGACCTCTCCAAAAGCGCCCTTGCCAATCACTTTTCCTGGGTTCACTTTCGTCGAATCCCAAATCCAAGGCGGTCGAGGAACTGGCTTCTCCAAAACGGGTCCACCCGGCTCCAACATCGTCTTGCTCGTCTTCAGCACATCCACCAACGACGGAACCGACAGCGCCACATATGCATCATTCACATAGTATCTTCCATTCTTTGTCATGTGCACCAGATAGTTCCACATCAAATTGTCGTGCAACACCGAGACAACCGTGCACTACAATTCGCAGATGAACATGGCGGAGATGAATAGACCTCTTGCTTGTTGACGTTGGTGATGTAGGAAACGAATTGGCCTTGTTCAACCAGCTGCCGGCGAACGATTCCCTAGCAAAATAAATCGATCAATAAGAAAAAGAAAAATCTCACAATCGGCATGTAGCCATGGAAGTAGTCGACATTTTTCAACGGGAACGGCCAGTTGGTGGTATCCTAAAAGGCTGATGAGGAGAAAAGCATGAAAAGACAACCTCTTTCGGATTCGACGGCTCTTTGATGTTGGCATTCTGAAAAGAGCAACGGTGCATTACGGCATATTTTTCTAGTAAAAAAAGAATTTCGTGCGGCCGAGGATACTAATGAATTCAGCGCCAAAAAGTGTGGATCAAATTGCAGCTTGCTAAAGGAGTCGGACGCGGAAGGGGGAATGTGCAAAATTAATGAAGCTAGTGGGAGTAGTTGTCGTTTTGTTGACACATGGCCTAATAAATAGTCGAACAATTTGCAAAAAAAAAGAGGATCTAGAAAAAAGGCTGACGCGAATCTCTTGAATGTCAGTGGGCTGGTTGGGTTTGTTCTTGACTTCCTTCAACACATCGTATGAGCTGGTGCTGTGGGCGGAAGGGCTCGAGATTGTCGATGTGCTTGCCGTATCTGCCACCAGAGACACTTGATCAGCGCGCTACAAACGAAATACATTGTAAGAAAGACAGGAGCCGCTCACAGTGACGGCTGACGGTTTTTTCGGGTCACAATCTTCAGTCTTTTCCGTCTCGCACACATCCAATTCTTTTTTCTTGCCCTAAAATGTAATAATTTCCTACAACGTAATACAAACTTTTGATTTGGCTTTGGACCGACGCTGTTGCTTTGAGGGTGACTTGACAGGAGTTGGCTTTTCCGGCTCGATTTTCTCAGGCTTCTCCTTCGGTTTTTCGACCGGCGTCTTTTTTGGGACCACTACAGCACTGACAACTGTTGGCTCCGGTGGCAGGGTGTGGTGCGTCTTTTCCTGGGAACCAGCGTTAGTTGGTTGCTCCGGTGGGGTGTTCTTCTCCGGGACGGCGGCAGTAACTGTTGGTTCCGGTTGGGTAGGAGATGTTGACTCGGCTGATGCCGGTGACGGAGCTAAAAGCAAATAGTTTACAGGTTGGTAGTTTGCAATAATTACCAGTGACTGGCGAGGGCGGAGCAGATTGTGTCGGTGGAGAAGACTTTTTTCGCTCTTTCAACTTTCGCAACGAGTCATCGACGTGCAGCCCGATAACGTCGTAGACGCCCTCATCCGTGTTGTCTTCGGTCACGGCATCTTTGTTGTTCGGAGCACCCGGCTGCAACAACGAGTAAAAAAGAGTAAAGGTCTGGGCAACCTCGGGGACCGCATCGGCACCATCGAATGGCGGCTTGTCCAATTTTGAAGGGTCGGGAGGCTAAATCACGTGAATGATCTGGAAATAACAACACACCGATCCTTGAGTCTTCTCAGAGATGATATCTGAAAAAGCGCAATCTTCTCAAAGACAACAATTCGCAGACAAGTGAACAGAGTTGGCGACAGACCTGGATTACTTCGAGGCTGGTCGGGATCCATAAATTCCCGAACGGACAAAACCAACCGACCCGCGAGTAATAAAGAAATGCGGAAAGCACCGATGAATTGCGCAAACACTGCATCCAAGACAACTTCCGTATGCAAAATGTATCCGCTTGGATTCACAGCAACCGCGATTCAATCCGATGTCTGACGCCACAATTCCAATGCATATTTATCCAAAAAAAAAATCACAAATTGCACCAAAAAATTCACAGTTCACGTAGCTTTCGTAATAATTCTCCGTGCAGCCCCTGTCGACGCACCTCCTTCTCGCGCTCCCGATCCCTAAACAAGTGATAATCAGTAAAGAAAAAGAATGTTACCATATTACGCGCGTCCCATTTTTTTTCAAAATTCCACAGCTCAGCCCTTCGTAGTAGACACGGTCGCTCAGTCGGGTGCTGTCGAAGAACTTTCTCGGTTTGTTTACCAGTAATTGAGCACCGTGTTGAGCTCGAGCCATTCGTAGGGCCTCACCTGAACAAGAACGATTAGAAACGGTCCAAAAAGGCGGTACCTTTTTCTGCGATTTGGTTTTTCGGCAGTGATAGGCGAAGAATGGTCGGATTAGTGGTCGGCTCAGTGAGAGGGCGTTGTTGGCGATGCCGAGGTGGTGTGGCTGCTAAAATTCCAAGTTCAACAGGGAACGGGCAAGTAATATCGCAATGTCTCAAACCCTCGAGAGGTCAGAACCCCGAAAAATGAGAAAACTCACCGCGTGCAGGGATCATTCGGGGCAGCGCAGGGGGCAGCAGCAAGTCCTCATCGTCGTCGAAATTGAGTTGTGGGGGCGGAGCACGAACTGCTGGTTCCTCCATCGGAAGTGCGTAGCGTCTGCCTGATCTCGTTGTGCCCGGAGTTATAGGCTTTTCCGTGGGAGCGGCCCGCATTCACTGAAAAGAACAACTATGAATACGAAAATCACTCGACTAAACTACAAGAAAAAAAATTATATGCAGGAGCACAAAACATTTTCCAATCGGAAAACGGTAAAAATTCCAGACAAAAGCCGAAAAAATCAAAGAGTCGAATGAAACCGCGGAGCGCCCTATAGCAAGCAGTTAAATCCTACGGTGGATTATGTCGATAGTATTGCAACGTAGCCTTTCGTCGCACGACCCACGCATCTCAATTTCGAGCCTAAAATTGATATTTTTGGTGTTTTTAGGGTATTTTCTATGTTGTTTTTGCAGATTTGTAGTTTTCGAGCTTTTCGTCTCAATCATGTGAAATAGCTATGAAATAAGTTACAATCCCCGACGGCCGGTGCTCTTAAATTTCCGCAATTTCTATTCTTCAAACGATCTCGCGGATTCTCAAAACCGAAAAACATCAGCATCAAAAACTGCAGATGTGTGCGATTGTCTTCTTTCTGTTGAGAGCTTCCAAAAAGCCATTCATCCATTTTCAGATACCCGTTCTCGCGGATTTGCTGATCATGAGCGAGGTCTTCGTGGCCACCGCTACAAAACTCAACGATTTGTTCGAATCGCAGATCCATGTTAGTCTTTGTTTTTACAGCTAAAGTTTCTTTTGTTAGGAGAATCGCCATCTTCAAATTTTCGTCGACCACATGATGCAACGTCTTATTGTCAAGGGGAGCGACGATCGTCAGCTAAAATCGGTTTGGTATTTTCCACAAAAAACACTTAATTTTTAGATTTCGATTGAAAGGGAACATTGCCGGGTGATAAAGAAGGACTTGCAATTGGTTTTCCAAAAGGAGGGCCTTTTTCGGTAACTTTTCTCGAGAATTAACAGTTGCGTGTTGTGCTTAGGTTTCGGCTCACGATGCGCGATGCTGCAAACATGGACAAGTTGTATAACGCGGTGAAGAGGCACATTGCTATCGAGGTACTCAGATCTAATATAATAACTGTTTTTTTATAGGTTCGTGAGACGCAGTTGGGAGGAGGCGAGGAGAAGCCGATGATTCAGCCATTTTCACAGAATCTGGTATGGGTGAATGCTGATACAAAATTGATCGATTTTAGCATCTCACATATTCCCAAACGATTGGTGGAGTGGGCACGCCTTCTCCAGCCATTGACGATGGCTCTCTGGACTTGTCTCCACCGCGCAAACGGCATTGTGTAAAAGAAGAACCGATCGACTCGCCGCAGAAGATACTCGCAAAACCCGCAGAAGGTAGACGGCCGAAGATTCGCGAGTTTTTCGACGAGCTTTATCGCCGGGATCCTGAAGGATTGGAGGTATGAATTTCGATGCTTCAACCGGATGAGTTCTTTTTAGCAAGCCTTCGTTCGAATCGGTGCGGAGCTGCTGAAGATACCGAGTTTCCGGCAGCTGCATGACGAACTTGACCGGCCGCTGTTTCCGACAGGTATAATTCCTCGTTCACGTGGTGCTAGTCAGTTTTTTTAGCCAAACAAGAAGACGTCAAGCCCGTGAAATCTTTGGAGAGCGAGCCCGAATAAACCGACTGCAACAGTTCTGCCTCATGTCTACATTCCAGCCATAACAACTTGTGTTCGTTTTGCTTGTTGTTGCTATTTCTATCTTATTGCCGTTCTCAATTTGTGAATCATCATCCTTGCCAGGTTGGCGCACTTTGTTTCTACCGCATTAACGAATAAATTTATGCTAACCCCTCTACAGTGCCACAGAATGGGAGAAGCGGTCCGTCTATACATTTATTCACTAGCCCTGCATGCGCAAAGCAAGAACCCCAGCGTTCGAATAGAGCTTGTTTTTTGATTGCAATTGAAATATGAATGATATAAGCGATGACATTGTTAGAAGAATTTTTTTAATTTTCCGAAGGCGCCGGTGATCTTGCCCGCCGTCGATGGCCTGTTCATCATCTGTCGCTCGTCGAAGGTTGCCTCGGTGGTCGTAGTCCCTCCATCTCGGCTTTTCGTCGGCTTCAATCCCTTTGCCGAAGCGCACGACTCAGCCATCGCCTTGTGATAACTGATAAGTGGGTCTAGCCGAGCAGGAAGAATTCCCACATCTCTGCCTCGCGCAACAGCTCGACGATGGCCATCCGATGGATCTTTTTCTTCTCAGCCAACGAGCGAACCCATTCATCCCAGCGGACCATCGTCTCATCCAGCTTCTTTTTTGCTGTGTCGACAGCGGGAAGCTAAAGATTGATGATTGCTAGCGCAACTTCCTAGCAGCTACCATTTCCGGCCGTGTCTTCGACTCGGTGATCATCATGTTCAGCTCGTCATTTGCGTTTTTCACCTCGGTCATCAGACGGCCGAGCTGTAAAATCGGGGCTAAATATGACTGGGGTGGTACGAACCTCATCGGGCAGCTCCTTGAGGAAAAAGGTGCGCAGAGGGGCCAGTTTCTCGCGTCCCTGCCTTTGGAAAGCCCGTGAATGGGTGGCACAATCCAGGCTCACCGCGCACAGCGTTTCCACGATCGACTAAAATTATTATTGGGATTGGGAAAGATCTAGCAAGGGGGTAGAAACTCTCAGCCGGGCCCAGCTTTTGTATCTGGTTCTCTTTTGTACCATCGGGTTTAGAAAGTATATCAAATTGTTCGTCTTAATATTTAGAGCCTTAAATTTGATTTGTGTCACATAAAGTGAGGGGTGAGCTAAATTAGAGAATTGCTTAAATAGTTCAGGTTGAAAAGTCAAAATCTTGGCTGAGCTCGTAGAGTTAGAACTATAGTTTAGCCCTAGAGTTTAGCAATGGATACCTCACAGCCGGTCCACGCTGGTCGAATCTGCGTCAAGCCATGGTGCGCCCTCTCATGGCCATGTTCTTGGTGCGGCGTTTCCAGCTTCTACAAACATATTTAGATTCGAACGTGGCTCCAGCTGCTGACGTGTTCCGATTGGGCGGCCGGGCAGAACTGTGGGTCTCGCTGCAGTACTTGGAGGAAGGCGTCAGTGGACAGTTGCAGGGCCTCCTGCAAAAACGTTTGGTTCTTTTTGGGTGTTAGCGGGGGCGTAGCAGCTAGCTAACTAGCTAAAGATTTGAAAAAATCGAAAATTCTTCGCTTTTTGGTACGAAATGTATGAAAAGTGGCCAAAAAAGTAAAGTCTTGAACATTTAAAATATTTGTACAACTTTTCAGCGATCAAAAACGTCTAAAAACACATTCATACACAAAAAGGATTACATATTATTAATAGGTAGGCATAGGCGGAAATGTAAAAATTAGTTTTCCCCCTGATAACGCCCCTGGTACTTACATTTTTCGCCCTCTTTGTATTTTTATCACTAAAATCCCAATAACGATCACCACAATTGAGATTTCTGGCCTTATCTGAGAAGCGCCCCCCGCTACGAATAACAGAACCTTTCTAGATGAACCAGTCTCGAAATACCGACGCGATATCCCTCAAGCGCTTGGCTCTGTCTGCGCGGCTCGTTCGGCAGATCGGCGGGCTTGACGGTGTGAAAGATGGTGCCGCCCTGCTTCAGCTTGTACTTCATCCGCTTGAAGAAGCCGATCTTCGGCTGTCCATTGATCAGCACCTCCTGCGAGCCGACCTAAAAGAGAATATTTTTTAGGAATCGTCTCACCCGTGGCACAACGGCTGACGACATTGTGCCGGTGTTTGTGTTGGACGTCTTCTCGCCGCTGCCCGAGCCGGCAGACGGCGTCGGGGGCGGCGTCATCGTGTCGAGCAGCGCCTGAAATGACTGGAATTTTCGGTATTTGTACGAGGCCCTAGATTTAAATTATATTCAAATGGCCGGAGTCTATTCGTGGAACCAAATCGACGGTTCGACGCCGGCGGGACTGGTCTGTTAGCGAGGGGAGGTACTCACCCTATAGAAATTTTGCGCGTTTTGTAGTGTTTTCGAAGTGTTTTTAGCGGTTTTTGGATTAGGAAGGATATAAAGTACTTAAAATTTTTCAAAACTGACTTTTTTGTACCAATTTTATTCATTATTGACGCAAAGGCCGAAAGCTCCGCCAAATTTTAACGTTACTCGTGAGCTGGCAAAGCAAAAAAAATCCAGAAAAATGGCTAAAAAGCCATATAATTTGCGTGGATTTTATTGCTGGGACCGCGCGGCCGATCGATCGGAGTTCGGCCCGCCACTTAGCCTCCCCCGCTAACAGTCCAGTACCAAACTAGGAATCTTTCGAAGCGGGCTCGGTGACAGTCACTTAGACTTGGGTGAATATAGCTTGATGAAGATGGTTAAAGCGGCACCAGGACCGCAATTAGACATGTAAGGGGGCCAAAAAGAAGAGGAAGTCTTTGAACGCTTATAACTTTTTACCTAGATGTAATTTGAAAGTCGATTCCAGTTTGTAGAACAAAACGCTCTTCGAATGTGACCAAATAGAAAGAGAAGGGCAATGCAGTTAGGGGAGTCCGAAATTGGTAGTAAGGGTTACGAGACGCCCGCTTAGCTACTTGGTTCTGCAAGCCAGGACTAGCTTTAACTAAGCTTAGCTTAGGCAGGCAAGCAGCCCAGCTAAGCAAATTGAGCTTTAAATTGCCTTAGGTGGTCAAAATGGGGTCATTTAGGACTGTTAGAGCAGAGCTTGGCCGCTGCTAGACCGTTTGTATGAAGCAGGCCAGGCTAGGCGGCTAGCTTTCCAGAGGCTTCGAGTTAAAAACGGCATTTGGAGCGTCTTGTAGTAAATCGGGAGCCCCCCAAGTGATAGCACGAGAACTGAATTCAACTCTGAATTGAACCAAGGCTTTGAAAGTGGCTTTGGTTTTCACAACTTTCAAAGCCTTGGTCCAATTCAGAGTTGAATTCAGTTCTCTTTCTATTTGGTCACATTCGAAAGAGCGCATTTTGTTCTACAAAACTGGAAATCGACTTTTTCAAATTACAATCTAGGTAAAAAGTAATAAGCGTTCAAATACTTCCCTCTTAGCTTTTTTGGCCCACCCATTACATGTCGTAATTGCGGGTCCTGAGATGCCGTGAAGGGCTGCCGACGGCATGTGTCGATCCCCCCTCATCAACAAATTGGCAAGAGCCAACAGGAACGCGCAAGGGAAGGCGCAGAGACATTTTATTTTCCGTGCGTAACCGATTCACTATGCCGTCGGCATCCCTTTAAGTATATACATGGGCGGTCATCCCAGAGGGTCACCCTGGGGGTGACCGCCGCTCACCCCCTGGGGGTGACTGAATGGCACGATACTTAACTTAAGTAATTCCCCCATAATCCGCGAACAAAATTTATTGGGACCAAAAGGAGAGCATATAAAAGGTTGGTTAAAAAATAACAACATGTCGATGATGAATGACGAGAAAAAAAAATTGGGGGTAAACGTAATTGGGGCCTATGCGTTAGTAGAATTGTTCTTGACGAGCGGCGTCGATTCGAACTGGGTGTAGACCTCGTTGGTCGTGGCACTGCAGCGGATGAATGTCGTTCGCTTCGACAACTCCTAAATTTATGTATTAGGATGGCACTAAAGACTCGATCGCATTGGTCCGTGAAGGTATATCCGAACGTTATGGGGAAACAGGAGTAAGTCCATACGCAATGTTTTTATACTTTTTCGGTATATCTAGAAAAAAGAACCAGAAACCCAAGAACCGCCAAAAAGGTATACACCCAGAAGACATAACATAATAGCAAATCCTCACCTTCAGTTTCTTTGATCCCGTATACGTGCATGCTGATCGAATGCCGCCCAGAATGTCTTGGACAGTGTTCATCACGTCTCCACTGGAACGAGAAGAATAAAAATAGCATAACCCAAGAACAAACCGGTAGGGCATCTGCACCGTCTTGCCCTCGCTGGCACGGTATTCGGCGACGGCGCCGTGGTACTTCTTCATCGCCGTGTCGGAGGACATCCCGTAGAACATCTTGTAGTACCTAAACATCAAGTTAGATACATGAAATTTCAAATGCACTTACCTTCCATCCTTTTCGATCAGTTCACCACCGCTTTGGTCATGGCCGGCAAACATTCCACCCAGCATCACAAAATCGGCACCTAAAATAGGGGAGTTATTCATTGACCCCAGAAATTTGGCATTTCGACGCTTTTATCCCGAAACTGGCTGTAGAGCTTCTACATGACAAAATCAAAAGCTAGTTCCTCGAAGGGCATTATTTAGCGCTGTTTTCTGGTATCAGGAATTTGATAAGACTTTTTGCGATACCATTACTACTTTATCTTGGCCTAATGCATGAAACAAACGGATCTCTAGATAAGGAATTTTCCAAATAGAACCCACAAAACGGTGACTCACCTGCGCCGAACGCCTTGGATACGTCGCCGGGATTCGTACATCCTCCATCAGAAATGACGTGCCCGTTCAATCCGTGGGCTGCGTCGGCACACTCGAGCACCGCCGACAGTTGCGGGTAGCCGACGCCGGCCTTCTTGCGGGTGGTGCAGACAGAGCCGGGGCCAATACCAACCTAAAAGATAACAATTCATCCACATATAAAAAATAGTGTTGTTTGTTTTGCCACTTTGCATCCACTTCCGGATGTCTGTCCGGAGGATATC